TTCCAAACTTTAGTTGAGTTATCTTCCTCAACAACAGATTTATGGATATGGCGTCGTTGACTATCTCTACACACCATATTGCAGCGATTTCGTGCCCTGTTATATTTCTCTCGGTTAGAATCATTAGGATTCATACGATATTTAGATTTCGCTATGTTCTTTTTTTCTTGAAGTTTTTTTATATCGGCAGTGAGCTAGGGGGCAGGAAGATGCTTCATTCGAACTGGACGAATTGGAGCGTGAATGTCATACAGTTGTGTAAGTATGCTGTTAAAAATAGATATCTGCTCATCAACCGAACCAGCATTCGCAACTACTGACCAGTCAACCTTAGCAGTATCTTCTCGTAACTTATCCAGGTCCATTCTACCAAAATTGCGCCGGAGAAGGATCCTTCGCTTAGCCTTAGGAGGTTTTAATTTATAGGACAGGTAAAGTAGATCATGGTAAGAAAAAGCGGAGGCATTGCATTGACCATGCTTTGCAACATGGTCAATGGAAGAAACAAGTATTAAATCAAGGAGAGAAGGTACACAATTAGGAAAAGCATGAGTTGCTGAAAGTGGGAGAATATGTAAGTTATTGCCATTAACAAGAGATTTCAGACGGGATGCTCTAGCATCATTTTTGAGAAGACAAGTATTGAAGTCTCCCATGACAATAGTGTGATTATAAAGCGAGGAGTATTGTTCTAAACGAATTTCAAATGCTGAAAAATAATCAATTGTAACATTTGGACTGTAATAGACACCGAGAAGAAGCTTTAAATGTCCAAACAATATTTCGATGAATAGGTGTTCAGGGCCGGCGCTAGACACTGGCTGCGAAGTATTTAAAACTGTGTAAGGAATGTGTGATCTTAAATAAATCGCCACGCCACCGCCAGCGCGCCCAAGGCGGTCGTTGCGAATCAAGTGGAATCCGGGAAGAGAGTAAGATATTGAAGGCAAACATGGTTTTAACCAAGATTCAGAAACTAATATCGCATGTATATTATCATTATAAAATGAGGACAACATGTCAGGATAATGTGCGGGAATACTCTGGGCATTTATATGAACAACATTAAAGTTTTTCAGAGTATCTGAGAAATGAGAATCAAGAGTTTCCCTTAAGGAAGGGAACGTATTCGTGGGATAAATTGAGAGGGTGCTCACGAACATCTAGCCGGTGTCAATAGCTGTGTTTACCATGTTCTTTTAAGAAACCACTAATTTGAGCCGATTACCATTGTATTTTTTTATAGAATATGGTGACAAACGAGCACACAGTCCACCTGATGGTAAGTGGTTGCTGTAGCCCATAGCTATCTACATTTATCCTCGATTACGAATCAGAATGCAGACGCTTTGTCACCTGTAAGGACTAAGATGGAACGCCTCGTTTTCAGTAAAAAGGTTCTCCAGCACTCTTCACTCACCATACGAAACAAAGCAGCATTAAGCAACTATTTTACGCTGACATTCTGTGAGAGCGCGATCCTTCCCCGGTCGAGCTGACCCATTCGTGCTACAAATATACTACTAACATAACTGCAGCATGGCTCTACCACGCATAATAATGCCGTTTTCTGTTCGAGTACTTATTCGTCAATTGTGGCCCAGGATCCAATTAGTCTAAGTAAATATCACATATATATTAAATATACTTTGGATCTAAACACTCATATTCAGTATGATTTTTTTCGACCGTTGATGGATCAACAAATGTTGGTCAAATTGCTGACGAGTATGTTTAAAACCTGTTAGTGCAGATTAACCGACGTCACACGCGTGTCAAGGATGGATCAAAGTTTATCAGTTTGCATGACGAGGAGCTGAGCAAACACGTGCGTCTTCTATGTCTATCTTTACTTAGCCTAATGGTTGACTAGGAGAGAATACCCTAAGGAATTGAGTTCGCCATATATACAAATTTGTGCCTGAAAGCATAAATAAATAAATAAGGCTCACCTACAGACTTACACATATAATAATTGCCGAGCACGGGTGCTTGGGTGATTATTTGCGTACGATCAGGTGCGAAGCGACGGCGAATAGCTTCTATTGCGGTGGGCGGGACTAGGACACCACGTCCCATACGCAGTATTTCCAGCCTGGAACTGGGAGTAGATGATCCTAGTGAACTGGATCGCATGGAATATCTCCCTGCCAGCCAGTCGATGTTGTCGATGCTGAGCAGAGATTCCGCTTGGAGGACCGTACGAGGATCGACTTCTGTCAATCTGTTTTGACTTAGAAGTAAGCTACTAATGGGAACTGGAGAGGACGGATCCCGCTCGGAGGCGACTTCATCAAGGCGTTAGTCAAGGCACTCTCCTTGATTACAGTGTACTGCTACCAGAACAGGGGTTTCCGTGGTTATGGGCGCTCAAGGTGGGGGCCCTGAACACCTAGTGATGGTACTCCCAAAGGTGGAAGACGTCTTGGAAGTGGTATGTCGAGGTATCGTGATAGCTTTGCGAGGATGCTGGGGACAGAAAAGACTGCCCCCGGGACGTACTTTAATAATAATACGTTAGAAGGGTCCCGTTTGCATTTCGAAGCCTCAGTTCTGTTAATTACCACCATAGGGTTAAGTTGGTAGAAATCCGGCGTAAACCTTCGTTGCTCCCACAGCAGAAGGTATCCATGCGGATTTCCCCCACGATAAAAAAGGTCTCTCTTTGCGTCCAACTCGACTCTCGATGACAGGGAGAACACACCACCGGCCATCCCGCTATGTGAGTGCTCCTTGCCGGATGTGCAGTTTACACGACGCTCGGTTCGCAAAGCACTTCTCTGCCTGGACATCCACAAATTGAGTGAGCCTGACGAAATTCCTCCAATTGTGCTCCAGAGGTGGCACCGGTTCTAACGCATCTTTTCCGGTACTCCTAATTTCTAGGCGTAGTCCCGAATTCATGGAAGACAGCTTTGGTTCACCCGATCCATAAAAAAGGCACCCGCTCAGACGCATCCAACTCGCCTATCGCCATCACCTCCTTGGTCTCAAAATAATGAAATCCGTTACAAACTGCCAGCTCATGCGCTACCTTTAGAACCACAAGCTGATTAGCGACCGCTAATGTGGTTTTCGTCGGGGTATATCAGCTGGTGATTTTATGGTCTATCGAACCCGTATATAGTTCGGACATAGCGAAGATCTTTGATCGAGTTCGGCACAGAGCGCTTCTTTCAAAGCTCTCTTCTCGAGAAATCGTGCAATTGTATCACCAGCTTTCCTGGAGATCGGAGCATCAAGCTCCTAGTAGTGGGTGCAGTTCCGATTACAAGCCTATTAATTCTGATGTTACACAAGGCTGCGTTCTATCACCAACGTTGTTTCTACGGCATATCAATGATATGTTGCAAACCTGTAACATTCATTGCTACGCGGACGGCAGCACTGGTGATGCTTTATACACCGGCTTTGCCAATATTTCTCCGGAAAACTTCGCCGTGTACCGGAAAAAACTTGTATCAGTAGTCGAGTATTTCCCTCGGACTGGTAAATGATCAATTGTTTCAGATTAGGGGCGACTAAATCTAGTCCAGTTCAATCCCCAGATACAAGATACAAGATTGCGCGCTTACCGCTAAAAAGAACCCCTTTGTCGTATCCCTCAGTTTCAAGGCACTCACCTAGTTGCCTCAGCCAGTATCGGAATCCTCGGCATCAACATATCGAATGATGTGCAGTTTCATGGTCAACAGGAGGAGAAGGCCAAATTGGCCTTTAAAAAGCTTGGCGTGCTCAGCAAAGTGGGGAAGTATTTCATGCCAGCACACCACCTGCAAATTTAGAAGGATCACACATACATGGAATACTGTTCCAGTCACTGGGCCGGGGCTCCCCAGTGCCAGCTCTTTCCATTTGACCACATCCAGCGCACAGCGGCTTGAATCGTCGACAACCGAGTTCTATCTCATTGGCTCGATTCACTGGCGCTGCGAAGGGATGTTGCATCCCATTGTGATTTCTACCGCGTCTATTACAGGGAGAGATCTGAAATTCATTAATGAGAGAATTATTAATTCCAGCTGCCAAATTTCACGAACACACGTTGCCACATCAAAACTCCTTATACCATTCACATCATCTGTATGCTTGGTGGTCTACCACTGTACGTTTTACTAGGAGTTTTCTTCCTCGTACGACCCTTCTGAGGAATCGTCTACCACCGGCAATTTTTCTGCATCGTTAAGACTTAAGGATCTTCAAGAAAAGAGCTTATTTCTTTTTAAAGGGCAGGCAATGCATTTTAAATTTCCCTAGTGTTGCAGTTGTTCATGGGCGGCGGTGGTCACTGACCATCAGGTGGGACTCATGTTCGTTTGCAAAAAGTTACTATTGCTACAAAAAAATTATGATTGATTATATTTATATTTAGAAACAAGACTATTGCACACAAATCCACCCTTTACGCAAAGCTGTTAGAACGTTAATTAGACTATTGGTAATTCGTTTAGTATCTTTTACGTGGTAGAGCCATGCTACAGCTATATAACTGGTATAGATATAGCACAAATGGGTCAGCTTGACCAGGAAAGGACTACGCTTTCAGAGAATACCAGCGTGAAGTAGCAGCTTAACGCTGCTGTGTTTCGTACGGTGAGTGTAAAGAACCGGAAACCCTTTTTACTGGAAACGAAGCATTCCATCTTAGTCCTCACGCGTGACGATACATCTGTATTTTGATTCGAAATCGAGGATAGATGTAGATGTCTGTGGGTCACAGCAACCGCTTAACATCAGGTAGACTGTGTGCTCGTTTGTCACCCTTATCCTATATTATATATATATATATATATATATATATATATATATATATATATATATATATAATAACAAAATGAATTTATTTATTTCAAGTTATTTAATAGATATAAAAATATACAAATCGGTTTGTAAACACTGACGCAAATAAAAAGTTTCTGTTACTTATCTGAGTGTTTTAAAACGCGCTTTCATATAGTTTTATTCTCACTTACTTTCGAATTTGTAGGATCTTAGAAGATATGTATTTAAAGGAACTGCCGCCTTTCAAGACTCTTGAAGTTACCTTCCCTGCAGCTTACAACGTTCTTCTTGTTGATGCTGAACTAAATAAGATGATAGTGGAGACGAAGTACCATTTGATGAGGAACAACTCAAAAGTGGTATTTTCGGGTACAAATCATGATCCATTCAAAACTTCTCCATTCGCTTTCCAGGAGGTACAACGCAAAGGGTATTTAACGTAAGTAATAATATTTAAATTTGTTGCATAAAACGTAGTGAAATAATTTAAACATAAATTAAGATTAGAATAAAAAGATAATATCATATATATTATAATTAAAGAAGGGAGCAGAGATGAAAGATGAAGGGAGCATGATAGAGCAACGCTGTGTTTATATTGTTGTAGCACGAATGAGTTGGTTCGACCGGGGAGAACAACGCCATATCTTCCATAATACCTGTGTAAAATAACAGCTTAATGTTAATGTGTTCTATATCGTGAGGTTACTGTATACCGTTTTAATGGAAAGGAGGCATTCCATTTTAGTTCTCAGCGGTAACAACGCATTTGCATTTTGATTCTTAATCGAAGATAGATGTAGATGTCTATGGGCCACAGCATCTACTTACTATAAGGTGGGCTGTGTGCTCGTTTGTTATACTATAAAAATGCTGGGGTGCCTTGAGCAACGATAATCAACAAAGTGCAAGGAATACACAAAATAAGTACGATAAGAAGAATATAAATAGACCAGCTATATTTTTCGTAACTAGAAGTGAGTTTCCACTATCTAAGATTCTTTGACGTAGAATCAAAGCGTCTATTCAGTACTATCACATACATTTTGCTTTGATTGGTTTTGATTATAGAAATGTAAAATCATCTAAGCGACAGGTGTAACCCATCGCAGCAAGTACGAAGTTTTATGGTAAAAGACTCGCAGCTGGTGTCAAGGAACACTGCTTTTTTATCAACTTTCGCCCAACAGGCTTTAAAAATTCAAATAATACATTGGCGCGAATACAATACATTGAATAAAAACATATCCAATCGTTTAAATATAGAAATCACATTCTACAGTCTTTTTAAGTACAATGTTAAACATAAGTATTTAAATGGATGTGACGGCTGGCACGAATTACTCGAGCGCATGAATTACTGTTGAACATACTCAACCCTATATATTTTTCTTCATAGATGGGGGTGATTGCCATAGTTGCCATATTTGACATTCGGGACTGGTAAATAATATTTTAAAGTTCGAATATTCTAATAAAAGTTTGTTTTAACTTTACAGAATAATAGCTGAGGATTGCCATTTGAGTGGCTTTGCAATTGCGACCATGGCTGATAATTCTTACGTAATAAACTTGGGTCATGACACTTTCAGAGTTAGCAACTGCAAATTCGGTTTAGAGGTAAAGACTATTAAAATATAAAAATGACGGCTGTGCTGTAAATGACAGCTAGCTTAGCGATTGGCTGGTACACTACGGAACGTGGGTTTGAATATCATCCATTATCCATTACAGCTTTTAAAAGTCTACTATTGAACTTTGGCTCCCCTCACAGATTGCCGCGCTTGGCGGGCGTCTTGGCAACTAAAAAAATGTTCAAACCTAAAATCCAATTAATATTCCTATTATAATCTGTTAATAATCCAATAATAAGTACGGAAGTTACGACCTTCATCGGTCGTTGCATGTGTTTCGGGACCGTGCTTTGTGGCTTTCCTTGGGGGCTTATATTAATCAGTGGTCTTGTGAAGGGCTGTAATAAAATGAAACTAAAATCCAAATCCTATGCGGGTAATTATGTGTAAGATCTATAAATAATTTTTTCGAATTTGAATAAAATGATACAACGCCTTCACGAGACAGGAAATTTTTTAAAGTGCAAGGTGAAATGTAAGTTTGGTCCCATTGAAGCATTGTTTGCATATACCATTTTTGTAATAATCAAAGGGTGGTGCTAAAAGAGCGACAAATCCGAAAGAACAGACTCGGCTACTCGCCGTGTGGTAGCGGCGTAAAATATACCACTCCCTAGTTTTCGCACCATGAGGCAAAGAGGAAAAGAAATGGCCCCGAGTTCCCGGCGCCCCTTTAATGGGGCAGTGGTGCGAAGAATCTCCAGGAGGAAAATCGGCGACGAGGTTCGCCACCCGTCACGTTCTGTATCCCGGAGGGGCGATAAGAGGATTGCGGAGGCCCGTCTGGCTACGCTGAATGAATGAATGTATGTGGAGCAATGAATGATAAGCTGGATGAAGTATGCGATATGATGTATGATAGAGGAATAGATGTGTTATGTGTATACACATGGCATATATACCGCGTACTGGTCCGGTGTAGATGAGACTGAGCGAGCATGCCATGGAGTCGGTATCATCCCTTCAGAAAGAATGGGCCAATGTGTAACAGAGTATGAATGTGTAAGCCCGAGACTGCTATGGATACGAATAAATGTAGGCCTAAATAATTTATTTGTTCTAAGGGTCTACGCCCCAGACATGTCTAAGCCCACTTATATCCGAGAGCAGTTTTGGGAGATGGTAAGGATGGTGTTAACGAAATGTAAGGAAAATGAAAATATTGTTATGTTAGGAGATTTTAATGGAAGGGTTGGGGTGAGGAGGCTTGGCTATGAAAGGATATTGGGAACGTTTGGTGATGAAAGTATGAATGAGAATGGTGGAAGCCTCCTCACCGTATGTGTGGAAAGGAATCTTTTTTGTGACGAACACTTTCTTTCGTCATAAGAAGATTCACATGTATACTTGGGAAAGAGGTGATGATAGAAGCATGATAGATTTCATAACTGGATGAAAGAATGAGGAGCGCAGTGGTGGATACAAGGGTTTACCGGGGGTCCAACGTAGGGACGGACCACTACCTGGCCTTATGCCGAATTAGGGATTTATTTAGACGTTGGCGGTATCGGACATCTGTGTCTACCACTGGGTTACAGCGTATAAGAATTCAGAGATTACAAGATGAAGATGTGAAAGACAAGTACAGATGTAGACTGTGAGAAAATATAAGTGATTTGGATGAGTTGTGTGTGAATGAGTTAGACTTGGAGAATGTGTGGCTTAATGTTAAGAAAAGTTTAGTGGATGCAGCTACCGAAGTATGTGGTGTTAGTAAGAGAACGAATGAAAGGAAAGACAATACGTTATGGTGGGATAATGAGGTACGTATGGAAGTTGAAGCAAAGGAGAGAGCATGGCTAGAACTGCTTGCGACCAAATCTGGTAATTCTGGTGGTAAGAATGATGAGATTGAAAGAAAAAAGGCAGAGTTTAAACGTCTAAATAAGAGAGTAAAAGAATTATTTAAAAGGAAAAAGCAAAAAAGAACAGATAAGAATGATAGGAGAATATCGGATAACTTCCAGTCAAATATTAAAATGTTCTGGAAACTCGTAAGAAATACCAAGGGACATTCAAAACAGCCTAGATTGAATGTGATACGAGACGAGAATATCTGTATTCTGAATGATGAAGTGTTGAGTCTAAAGAGATGGAAGGAATATTTTGAAAGCGTATTTATGAGTGAGGAGACGTGTGAACTAAATGAAATACAAATTCCGAAAGAAGATGAAAGAGATAGGGAGATAAGTATAGATGAAATAATGAAAGCAATGAAAAGCATGAAAGTAGGTAAGGATATGATAGAGTTTCACTCGAAATGCTAAGGGCTGGAGAGGACGTGGTGGCAGGCCTGCTGTTCACCTTGTTTGATTTATGTTGGGAACTAAAGCGGGTAACGGGAGACCGGTGCAATGCCGTGATAGTCCAATATATAAGGGAAAAGGGTCACAGCAGGACTGTAAAAACTACCATGGTATCAGCCTTCTTAGCATTGTGGGAAAACTGTTTGCTAAGGTACTAATTGAAAGAGTTATGAAAGAAACTGATGAAAAAATTTGGGATGTGCAAGCGGGATTTAGAAAGGGAATGGGGTGTACAGATCAAGTCTTTTCGCAAGTTTTTGGCGAAAAACCAAAAAGTTTTTTGTGCGTTCATGGACTTGGAAAAGGCTTATGACAGAGTGGACAGGGATGTGTATGGCAAACGCTGAACGCATTTAGGTTGAGCGCTGGTTTAATACAGGCATTAAAGTCTCTGTATAGGGACTCGAGTGCTTGTGTTAGAATGAACGGGGTCTGCTCAGACTGGTTTGGAATCCATAAAGGTGTCAGACAGGGCTATGTAGCTTCCCCCGTGGCAACCTATTTATGGACAGTACCAGTATCAAACATGAGTTAAATATAAAGAGTATAAACTTCTTTTGACCTTGTATGTAAAACAAAAGTAAACTTACAGCCTATAAAAGTGTCACTGCTTGGCACACATAGCTTCTTTTTTTCTAAGAGGGCTAAGAAGTAATTATTTCTGTGCTGCTCCATGCCGCGTTGACCATTTAAACAAAGTCATAGAAAGATTGTGTTCTTCGGATCGGACACAAAATTTTCTTGTTGTTTTTATTTACCGACAACATCTTCTCTAAATACCTGAAAGCACCCTCACGGATTGGATAGGGGTTTTCACATATTGTATAAAACATGTATGCTTAGTCGGGTCATAAGTTCTTTCAAAACCTTATTATTTAAAAAATTTGAATACTGGCTAGACCAACTCCAACCAATTTTGTAACAACAACAATATTTTATAAATACAACAAATATAACGTTTGCGCTTGCGGAAAATAAAAAAGACATTAATTTTCATCCATTTTCAAACTTGTGGTCGAAGAAAGAAGATATCGCATCATCATCATCATATCGATGAGTAGCAGTTATCGCGTTGCACCGCTGTGGTTATGCGCCAAAAGAGATTTACAACATTCTACAAAAATAGTAAATAACCCTACGATTTGTTTATCGTACTATCAAACGAATTCGAAGCAAGCAATACAAAACGATTCAAGCTTCGAAGATCGTAAGAGGACCAGCCGACCTCGTACAGTTAAGACAACCGCGATCATCAAAGCAGTGAAGGCGCGAATCCAACGAAATCCTGTTCGTAAACAAAAAAATCTTAGCTCTTCAGATGGGCCTAAGCAGAACCACGGGCAAAGTAGTGATCAATGAATACCTAGGACTACGAGCTTATATCGTAAGAAGACCGGAAGTTTTTTTAACAAGCGTTTAAAAAAAATTAGGCTGGATAGATCCCGCGCTTTGTTACGGCAGTACACCGAAAAAATATCGCAAAGTTTTGTTGTCGGATGAAATTTTTTTTAACATTGAAGTAAGTTATAATAAACAAAATGATAAGGTGTATGCCCACAGCAGTGATGAATGGAATGGAATTGACTTTATCGGACATGAAGACTGGCCCTCTTCTAGTCCAGATTTAAGCTCACTGGATCATAAGATATGGCAACATTTGGAGGAGAACGTGTGCGCTAAACCTCATCAGAATTTGGAATATCGCCGAGCATCTTTGGTTAAAGCAGCAGTAGAAATAGATATGAGTGTGCTGCGTGGTGCGATTGATGATTGGCTGCGTAGATTAAGGGCATGTATTCAAATAAGGGGAGGGCATTTTAAATAATGTGTAGCGGCGCTGTCGTCGCGCCACAAGCGAAATACACCGAAGCTTAAATCACGCTATCAACATTCCGAATCATAGACAGTATATATAGAACTTCTCCGAACTATCACTCGGAGTGTCGGCCGCTCCCCGGGCAGAACACCTTGCCCGGCGGGAGATCTCCCCTTTTCCTTCCACGGCCACAGTGGTGACCACCCTACGTGATCTGAACACGCAACCAACAACCTTCGGAAACTTCAAGCTTCATCATCGTCATAGAATACCCCACCCATTCGCTCCCGAGCAGATATCGTCTGCAGTTTTCATATCCTGCAAGCCATCTAGCTTCACAAGGTTCATCGCAGCACTGGAATAATAATGCTTCCTGTTCCTTCAAGCTACTCTCCGCGCTATACAGTGTTTGGCACGGCTCTGAGCCTTACTGCTCGTCTCTGCTTCACGGCACTCTCGCAGATTACTTGCCTTCTTCTCGACTCACCGCAGACTACAAGGCAATCTCCTGGAACTTGCACATTCGTCGGCAACGAGGCTGCACTATCGACCTCCGGTCTGAGCAGGGGGGTGATGTAGCGGCGCTGTCGTCGCGCCACAAGCGAAATACACCGAAGCTTAAATCACGCTATCAACATTCCGAATCATAGACGGTATATATAGAACTTCTCCGAACTATCACTCGGAGTGTCGGCCGCTCCCCGGGCAGAACACCTTGCCCGGCGGGAGATCTCCCCTTTTCCTTCCACGGCCACAAATGTAAATTAAATTGTATTCTAAATTAAATTACCTTTAATTTCATATATAATTTCTATATAATTATCGAAAAGTGTATCATTCACTTTATAAAAAGTTTTTGACAGA